GCGGCGTGTTTATGTGCGCACCACGTGCTGGCGCGGGAGTCGCCTGCCCGGTTTTACCGGCGCCTTGTGCGGAGGAAGAGGTGGCTCTGTACGCGTGGGCAGCTGTGGATTTCCGTGAGGGAGCTTCTTGGGCCTCATTGATGCTGGCGCCGTGCCACGCGGGGAAAATGTGCAAGTGGGCACATACGCACTGATGAAAATAAAAATAAGGCATTTATATATAGATATGTATATATATACACACACACTTATTTTGCCACATCTTTCCATACTTCAACAAATATAGTGTGGGTAAAAATGGAAGGCAGGTGGTACTTTAGAAAGTATTATCAATTATATGAGTAGTGGTTGTGTTTAGAATTTTCTAAAATCTGTTGTGATTCATATTCTTGAGCCCGTATTACACAGAAAGGTGTGTGGGGCGCCCACATGGGCGATATCGCAAGGAATTTTTTACTGCAGGAGCAAGTAAGGAGTACGGTTCTTAGACTGCAATCTGTTAGTTTCAAAGTCGTCATTATGGTTCTCAAATTTAAGCAGGCTTCATAATAGCAAACAGTTATTATGGTTATAAATGACTTAAGTAACTGCAAAAAAAAAAAAAAAAGGCATTCAGCTTATAAAATAAATCTTTTAGACTTTGTGTGAAGACAAGTAAATATTTCTAAAATATTGCCAGGGGAAAATCTCATCGTATTTATAAATCTTCTACTCAGTGACTTATGTTATCAGCCAACATTTTATGAAGTCTAATTTTATTCTCCAGAGTTGGGATAATGATAAAGAGGAAATGCGATTCCTTTTTCTCATTAAACTATTCCAGGATTCAGTGGGTGAGAAACAGTTACTTTTTGGAAAGCTGACAATTCCCACTGGTTTTCTGAGGCATTGATTATGACTCTACAGGTCGTGTATTCCCAATTAAAGTGGTGCATTTACATTTATCTTTCTTTGAAGATACTTACAAATGCATTTGAGATTTAATTCTTAACTAGGGTTGGTGGTGTTTTTGGAGCTATTTAAAAGTGGTGATCTTCACAGAGGTGATGGGACTTTCAGTAACTACCTGCCCTGTAAAGCAGTGAGATTTCTAAGCTTCCCTTTTGCTGAATTTAGTAGTAGCAGTTACAACTCAGAGCTCTCAAACAGTTCTCTGAAATTGTCTTATCAACTTTATGTGCAGCGGCAATCAAAAAAACCCCCACAAAACGTTGTACGTTGTCGGGAAGAATATTGAGAACAAGATAGAGGGAGTCGTTTGGCTGCTATATAAAACGCTGGCGCAGCCTCAGATTGATTACTGCATCAGTTCGTGTCTTCACGGCTCAAGAAGGATGTGGAGGAGTTAGGTAAGGCACAGAGGAGGGATGGAGCCGCTGCCTTACAGCGAGAGCAATAACAGCTGGGACTGTTCGATACGGAGAGAGAAGGTGGAGGAAAGGATTGATCAAGATTTACAAAATCATGAAAGGTACAAAGTTGCTGTTAACCAAATCCCACAGTATGAGAATGAGGAGGCACCTTATGAAAACAGTGGAAGATCATTTTTTAGACTTGTAAAGAAAATGCTTTTCTGCAAAGCAGATTGTGAACTTCTAGAACATATTGCCACCAGAGACTGGGGACTTGGACACTATCTGTAGGTTCAGGGAGGCATTATTCATATTGATGGCAAACACATGCATAAGTGGACGCTGAAGGAAATAGGCAGGGATGTACCCTCCAGCATCCCTAGCACAATGAGAGATGCAGAGGAAGCAACAACGCTAAGGAGCTCTTCCTAAATAGCATCTCCATTTACTGACATTGGAGTCAAAATACTGGGCTAGGTGCACCACTGATGCTAGGCGCCCTCGCTCTGTGGGACATTTACCTCCATTTCTGTGTAATTATTTCACTGCAGAAATGGTGAGAAACCTATAATAGACAATTCTGAATAAATGAAGCTCACACCCTGCGAATACTTAAGATTATTCATAACATGGTAGCCTTGTGTAAGCCTTTGTAAAGCCAGGGCCCAAGGCCCTTTTACTAATAACAGGCATCGATTCTCCTATAATTACGTGGATTTTATGTCTAATGTGTGACCTGCTTGCTCAGAACAATTTAACCTGCAATACGTTTGTGAAGTAATTGGCAATGAAAGCCACCATGTGGACTAAAGATTTTTCTTCCTTAAAAAAGCAAACAAACAACAACACCAAAATCCCAAAACACCACCCTCAGAACAGCATGTAGAGAATATAGTCTGCATCTTAGAATACTTGAACAAATTCATCGTTTGTAAAAAAAAATACTTGGCTGAGACAGTTTAGCTGGCTATTGTCTGCCATTATTTTTCCCACAAAATCTAACCTTACTCCATGTACTTCTCCTAAGATACCTACTTGGTTTTGCCAGCTCCAAGGACTAAGATTACTTCAAAGCAATCATGTCTTAGATAGTAAATTGCTATAAAATTAACATGTGCAAATCTGCCTTTTTGTTTAAAGCTTTGCAGATCATGTTTTCAAATAACTCTGCAATCACAAGAGGTCTTGTGGCCTTCATAGAAAGGAAACACTTAACATTGCAAAAGACTGTTTTTTTCCAAAGCAAAAGCTTCTTTCCTTGCGGTCCTCAAATACAGACCATTGGCAGTCCCTAATATACTGTGAGGGCAGCGTGTTAAATGAAGCATGCAGTGGTGACAGTGCCTGTGAGCTAAGGGACAGTCACACAGAGGTGTCAAGGTGGGCTTACGGTATCTTCATAAAAGACCTTGTGAGAGGCAGTAGGAAGCCTCACCCCAGAGCAGCAGATGCCTGTGCCAAGGGTCCATTTGGTATGAGTGCAATGTGACAGCATTCAAGAGCTGGGTGAAAGCGGATTGGGAGGAATTCTGGCAGACTTGCAACGTTGCAAGAAAGGGCGGAGAGGGGGCTGTTCACAAGGCAGGGGGTGGGTGGTAGTGCAGTGACACGCCACAGGACACAGTCCTCAGCACTGACTGGGGAGCCTGCCCCTGGCTCAGCAAGGGCCTCTGCTCAGACAGAGCTCCGCGGGCATGGTGGGTTGACCCCAGCCAGCTGCTAGCTCACTGCTCCCCGGGGAAAGAACCAGAAGAGTGAAAGCAAGAAAAATTATGGGTCAAGATAATGATGGTTTATAAGTGAAGAGGGAAAAAAAAACATACAAAGACAACCACTTGCCACCTCCCACAAGCAGACCACTGATGCCCAGCCAGTCTCTGAGCAATGGCTACTTTGGAAAGACTACACCCCCAGTTTTTATTGCTGAGCATGATGTTATGTGCTATGGAATATCTCTCTGGTCGCTTCAAGTCAGCAGTCCTACCTCTCCCCCACCCCAGCCTCTTCCCTACCTCCAGCCCACTTGCTGGGAAAAGCAGAGTGAGAGACTGAGAAGGCCTTGACAGTGTGCAAATACTGTTCAGTGACACCTAAAACATTGGTGTGTTATCAACACTGTTTGGTCACAAATCCTAAGCACAGCATCATATGGGCTGGTTATCATGGGGGACTGCTGCCCCTGAGAAGGATGAGCCCTGGGCACCAGTAGAGACCAGGAGTGCCCGGCTGGGGAGCAGCTGTGGGGACAGCCCTGGGGCCCTGGTGGGCAGCGAGCTGAGCTGGCCCTGGCAGCAACGAGGGCCAACAGCATCCCGGAGCAGAGCCCGTAGATCAGGGAGACTGATTATCCCCCATTACTTGGCACATGATAGACCACATCTAGGAGACAGTGCCCAGTCTTCCCTCCATGCCCCTTGCAGGGCAGGTGTCCATAAAGAGGATCAAGTTTGTTGGACGCCACCAGGACGGTTAGGGCTGGAGCAGTGTGAGGTGAGATGGCTTTAGGGGGGGACACACACCAAACCACGGCCCCCAGTGCCTGTGGGGAGGTCCCTGAGAAGACGGACCCAGGCTCCTCAAAGCTGTGGTGTGACAGGAGGACAGGAGACGACAGGCAGGTGTTGACCCACAAGAGGTTCAGGCTGGGCTAAGAAAACCCCGTGAGGCCAGCCGAGCCCTGGAGCAGTTGCGCGGGCAGACTGTGCGGGCCTCGACCTCGGGGCTCCGGGACCCGATGGGACCCAACCCTGGGCACCCAGGCCCGACGCCCCGGCCTCCGGCGGT